GCTCCACACCGTGTTGTCGGTTACTTCTGCTTCCTACAATAGCACTCATCTCTCTGGCATCACACAACAAGCCAAACAACAGTTTTAATATTGATATTTACTCAGCATAAACACCACTTTAATTTGAATTGTGCACCAAAACAGGGAAATGATTGCTTTAAACCAAGGACTAAGGAAGGAGTTACTGCACTTTTAGAAACAGGTTACTGAAAATCACTGAGAATTGTGTTTGTTCAAATGGTAGGGGAAGAAGTTTGAAACCCAATGGCACTGTGGGTGCATACTCTGGGCAAACTTCAACTGGAAAGCAACAAATTGAGTTTTCAGTTAAGGATTATCGTGTGGGCAGATGTCATCAGCATGGCAACAACTTTTTGACTGGCTCCTGGTCAGATAGGCAGCTTGTATGTGAACAATATGAAGGCAGGTCTCCAAACTGCAAGAGACAGCCTCTCCCATCAATTGTTATAAGCTGTTTCCTCTAACGAGTGACTAAGAAAATGAACAATTAATGTGTCAACCCACATCTTCAGCAAAGAACTGAAAGGAATTTAATCTGAAGGTTGGAGATCAGAAGGACTTGGAAGCAGAAAAAGTGACACTTCATCAAATTGTGTGGACTGATGCTGTTGAACAGTATTTCCCCAATACTTTTTCCTCCACCCATAACATCCATTTTTTTTGTCTGCATGAATGCACGGGGTTTAAGGAGATGATAGACTTTCAGCTACATTAATTATACCTTGATAATCCATCGGATTACAATTTATTTGTATTAAATAGTAGATCAAGTTAAGTGCAGAAACCTGGTCAGTGTCTTCCCTTAACCAGACCCCATCAGGCAGTTAAATTGGGGAACTTTTGAGTTATTTAAATCTTTGACTTTTGTGACAATCCGAAGAGTAGTGGTGCTCAAGTATCAGCACACTTTCCCAAGCTGGTTGTGACATCAGAATTTACAATGTTTTGTTCTGCAGCCATGATTTCATGTTGCATTCAGGTCACAGAGCTTCTGGTCTGACTTTAATTACTTTGCAGATTGCTAGTAAATACCCAAGATGGAATAAGATTCCTGAGGTTATCTTCAATTCTATGGCTTCAGAAGTTCAGACTTTTGGGCTAGGATGCACTTTATTACTTGGAGTTTTGCACAAGCTAAATAACTGGCTTCCTTTTCTTCCATTAAATAACTTTTGTTTTAAAATGATCTATTCCTCTTTTTTTGTTAACTGCTGTAATTAATCAAACTAAATCGTGTCTTTCTTCTAATAATTAACTCTAATGGCTAAATTACAGTTTCATTCATGATTGAAATCTGAAATGTTTTCTTCCCAGAACACGATACTCAACAATAGCTTCCGAGAAGCTGGGAATATATTTTTTATAAAACCCATTAACATAGCTTTTGTAGCAGAAATGACTGAATCAATGTTTGTTTTACGTAAGTAAATGGGAATGCATTAATGGTTGGACGTACCGCAGTCTTCCATCCTGAGCAGCTGCACCTCCTGCAATGATTTTTGTAATGAATATGCTGGGATCGTCACCAATGTGCGGATTATCTGTACCACCTGCAATGCTGAAGCCGAGGCCAGAATTTCCCTATTTTAAGTATACAAATAGAAAATCAGACATAAAAAAAACTCTTATTGAAAACATTGGAAGAAACAAGTAATTGTGAAAATGACTTGACTTTGTAGGGATCAGTGGAAGTCTCACTGTAAATACTGATTCTGATGGAGGTGCATCTTCAATGAGACAAGCAGCAAAATATACTTTTATTTCCGACACTGTTTTATGGTTAACAATTGGTAATCAACAAATCGTAAAAGATAACAAACTCATCTCCAACTACAGTGAAATATTTTGGCATACTAAGGTAGACAATACAGTGTGCATTATAAACATAAGACTGAGGAGTAGCAGGCCATTTTGCCCTTTGTACCTCTTCTGCTATTCAACAAGATCATGGCTGTCTAATTGTGGCCTCATCTCTCCCTTTCCTAATTGGCCCCAGTATTCTATTTTCATTAAAAACCTGCAACTCTGCTATCAATACTTTCTATGACTCAGCCTTCAGTGTTTTCAGAGGGAAAGAATTCTACATATTAGCGATCCTTAAAGAGAAAAATCCCCTCGGCTCAGTTTTAAATGGGAGACCACTTAGTCACAATCTCTGTCTCCAAGTGCTAGTGTTCCCACAAGAGGAAACATCCTCTCCATGTCTACACAATCAAGTCCCTTGGGGATCTTTTACATTTCAGTAAGATCATACCTCATTCTTTTAAATTCCAATATGTAAAAGACCAGTGTTCAAATTTTTTTTTTAATTCATTCATGGGATGAGGGGGTCGCTGCCCAGACCAACATTTATTGCCCATCCCTAATTGTCCAGAGGGCAGTTAAGAGTGAACCACATTCCTACATGGCCTTCATCCCAAAAGTTAGTTGAATGAAAATTTTTCTGAATTGCTTTACCATAATTATAATTTTTTTGGAAACCAAAACTGTACATAATACTCCAGATATTGTCTCAACAAGTCTACGGCTGCAGTAAAATTTTTATATTCCATTCCCCTTGATGCTTATTTCAGCATTCAATTTGCCTTCCTAATCAATTGCTGTATCTGCATATAAAGCTTTGGTGATTCATGTGAGATTCACACTAGCCAGATCCCTTTACCGGTACCAGGTTCTGCAATCTCCCCTTATTTAAAGAAGGCAAATTTAACATTCTTGCCAAGGTGGATAAGGTCAAATTTTCCCACATTACATTCAACCTACAGGATTATCTATTATCTATACCTCTTTGCAAATTTTACATCTCATTGATAACACACCTTCCTACCTATCTTGATGCAATCAGCAAATTTAGCTACCATACACTTGATCCTTTATCCATATCTGTGATACAGTTTGTAAAAGAGTTGAGGCCATTTGATATCCTGATTTTAACCAGGCCATTAGAAGAGATGCCAAGCAGATATCAGGTGCTTCCCAAAAAGAGAAAGTGAAAAACGTCTCCATCACCCATGAAAAGAACTTGAATGAATTTGAGTATTGAATTGGCAAATGTTAGTCATGCCCACCATACAACATTTTGGTAGGATGAAGTTTAGAAAATTTAGCATTAGTTAAGAAAATAAACAAAGTTCATTTTTAGCTTCACCCTGTATTTAGAATGCAAAAAAACCCATTTTGAATTCATACTTCCTTTCCCAAGCTGGCAAGACATCACTTAAATGACAGTAAAGGTCTAATGCATCAATTTTCTTCTGGATGCTTGAATTTATTAAATGTTACTTAAAATATTACCCCAACCCCCATCTTTTTTGCAACCAGGAACTACATATACAGTCATTGACATGGGGACCACTTGTTCTACCAGTGTATACACATGGCAGTTAGTTGTGAATTTTTTTTCTTGAATTAGGTTGTTAGTTTCTTTGCAGGTGGGCAAAATGGAAGAGGTGGTCTCTAGCCCTTTGAGCGTGCTCCACCATTCAAGATCATGGATGTCCTTCACATAAGTCTCTCATAAGTCAAAATGACATTTTGATTCCCCTAGTACGCAAAATCTATACTGCCTTTATTAAAACAAGTTACTACTACACCAGAATTAAAACTTTTCTTTCCACAAAATAACACTCCAAGCTACTAGTGCAAACAAGAAATTCAATGAACGAAGCTTTCTCCATTAGTAGAAACAGTAGCCAATGCAAAATTAGAGGTCATTGCTGCAGTTAATTATATTGCAATATTGAGCTACTGCGAACAGATGTGCCAAATCTTAATCTAAACATTTGACGTAAAAGCTGTTAAATTGAGATGTCAACGCAACTGCTTCTCTATTGGTCTAGGGATTAGGATTCAGTACTTTCACGATTGCATGCTGGTTTCAATTCTTGGGCAGGGCAGGGAGGTTTATGGGCATGAGGAATGTCAGATCAGCCACAGAATAGGCATTGAATGGTGGAGTAGATTCAAGGAGCTGAATGGTCTACTCCTATTTCTTATGATCTTATAAAATATTTAATTCAAATTAATAGGAGATCCCAATAAAAGTATTTTATTCAAATCAGTTTCTGTTTCAATCAGAAAGAGCTCGCAATTGACTTTAAGGGAGGACAATAATTTTAATGTCAATATTGCTCATTTTATATTCAATGGTTGCTTTGTCCACACAACGTCAAATTACAAAAGATCTCCATCCATCTGTAAAATCCAGACCGTTTCAAGACTTAACATAGATCCTGTTGCTCATTAATTCTAATTACTATACTCATATATTCAAGCACTGAAATAAATTATTTCAGCATCAACTTGTTCCTTTACAAGATTGTCATTCTCGGTTTTTGATACAGACAATAATAAACCCAAGTTTTGAGGGCAAGAATTTTCCTGTGACTTATTGTGAAGTGTAGGCATTTCGCAGACTGTAGCTTTCTTCTGCTATGTATACACATTCAAATCTACTCTCTGTTACTTTACTCAAACACATGAATCATTTGATACTTTATTGACTATTAGCATATTTGCTTATACATCAGGGAAGGAATTATACAAGGAAAAACCAACAACAGCTTGTATTTATATGGTCCCTTTAATGTAATAAAATGCCCCAAGATGCTCTATAGAAGCACGTTAAAATAAAATTTGGCACTGAGCTGCATAAAGTGATAACAGGGCAGATGACTAAAAAGCTTAGACAAAGAGATTGGCTCTAAGTATTGCCCTAAAAGGAGGAAGGAGAGGTTAAGATATTTAAAGAGTGAATTCAGCTGAAGGCACAGCCATCTGTTAGAGCAACCAGGAAAACTAGATTTAGAACACAAATTTCAGAGTTGTGGAGCTAGATGTGTTTACAGACATTGGCAAGACAAGGACGTGTAAACAAGGATGAGAATATTTTAAGAAAAAAAAAATCAATAAATTGTTTAATCCTGAGCCATTTGAACACAAAATGAATGGAACTTGGTGGGATTAAAGACACTGACAGAGTTTTGAATAAACTTAAATCTACACAGGGCAGAATGTGGACTTTATTGGGACAGTTGAGTCTAGATCTGACAAAGGCATGAATGAGCACAAAAAACTCAGCAAATGGTGGAAGAAGAGAGTTAACTTTTCAGTTTGAATGACCATATCTATTCTGAACTATTGGATTTATCCAATTGTATCTATCCATCTGTAAAATCCAGACTGTTTCAAGACTTAACACAGATTCTGTTGCTCATTAATCTTAATTACTACATTCAAATATTCAATCACTGAAATAAATTGTTTTAGCATCAACTTGTTCCTTACGATTTATTGAGCAGTTTTTGTCTCATTTCAGATTTCTAGCATTCACAATATTTTGCTTGAGATTTTCAGCAAATGAACTGAGGTAAGAATGAGTTCAGGCAATGCCACCAAAGTGGATATAGGCCAATTAAAACAGATAATATTTTCTTTCTTTCTTTGAATTATTCACCATTTATTCTGGCCCATTACCAAACCACTTAATCTGATGGCCAAGTATTCAACTTTCAATTTAGAGGAGAAACACTGACAAAGTGCTCACGTCACTGGGGCAATAATTTAGAGTTTTGTACACTAATGGTCTGGGGACAGCGGTTCAAGTCCCACCATCGCAACTAGTGGAATTTACCTGCAATTATATAATGATTCTGGACTGGAAAACTACTCCCAATAATGGGGACCATGAAACTATAAGCAACTGCCACAATAACCTTTTTGATTCACTGATGTCCTTTGATGAATGTCATCAAATACTGATTTTTAATTGGAGCTTGTCTAAAATAGACGGTTGGATAGAGACATCTAAAGGAATGTTGACCACATAATTGGTCAATTCAGCAGCTTTCTAAATCATGGCTCCTTTGCCCAAAAGTTTGAATCAAATACTGTGCACTGAAGTGACTCTTGTGAAATAGCTTCTATGATTACTATGTCGCCTTATGTCAGGCAAGGATGCATTTATGAATCAAATGTCTTTTCCGGCAATATAGTTTCCAATGTTAATGTGGTAGCCAGTTAGGATTGAACCTCAAGGCAAAACATCATTTGAAGTCTTAGGCACTGGATTTGATAAATACTTTCAGCTACTCTCAAAAAGAAATAAATATTACAAGAGATGGACTGACATGTCAAGAGTGATATGATCAGGACTTTAGAACACCTTAAAAGGAAATTTGAACACTGGTTTCTCTCCTGGTAACAACTATTCTATGGGGATAAAAACAGGAGGAGCTGATCGAAGACAGGAACTTCATTAAATAATTATTACAGCTTTGTGAAATGCAGTGGGACATCAGGTTACTGAGCAACCAACTGCAGAATAATTCAACCAATTTTCTAGTAATATTAATTATTAATACCCTTGTGCAAAGGTCACACAAAAGAAAGCGGAGCACAATAACATTCTGCAAACATACTCCACGGTTGACAAAAGCTGACCAAAAGTGAACTCAAGCCTGCAATAAAAAAAAGTCACATTCACATGAATTATTGGCAAGTGTCAGATCAATATTCCCACTGAATCTTGTTCTTGTTGGCGAATAAAGGGGGTGAACTTGGAAGGAAATGATTGGTATGACATGCATTTTGATTCAGTTTAAAAACTTAGGTGAATTTCTCAAGAATACCTCAAACTTCAAAATTTACACATGGCGGATAGGAGACATTGACAAAAGAAAATTGGCATCTTACTCTCTCCAGCGTGATTTCTTCATATTCATAGTCTGTATCTGTACCATTAACCTACAAAATAACCAAGATGTGAAAAGCTAGCTTAGAAAAATGAGTTACATTTGACAAAACACTAAAAACAAAATTCGTATTTCAGTCTTTATTTCATGAAAGCTCTCAGATTGATTGGTCAAAAAAGTGTCATAAAATTGCAATGATTACTTCTATGGCTATGGATCCATATTCACTTAAACCTTGATAGAATTAATTTCCAATCAATCATTTAACTTAATACTAAATGCAGTAGTTCATTGAAACCATTGGTGACTATACGCCGTTAGTTTCCATCTAAAAATTGATTTTTTTTCTCGGCTTTTGTGATCTGCAAATCCGAACAAGGTACTCGCACAAAAAGATAACACTTATGGCAGTGAAATGGAAGTCACCGCAAGTTTCACATTAAGGCAAATACATTAGATTTTATGACAGCAAACTCATGTGATAAACTGCAATGTAATCCAATTATCTTTGATTTAAATTAGAAGGAGCTGACAAGAAAATTACCACACTAATGCACAGTGACTTAGTCAATGTTAAATTAATCTTTTACGGTACTGTCCAAAATGCAGTATTATTGGTGGCTATAATCATCACAGCAAAGAAACTGATCTTACAGACAATACAATTGTTTAAGGGATAGCCCAGTATTAAAGTGGCTCATCATCAAACTGCAAGACTTTGGAATCCAAGCAGTAGAGGAAAGACTAACCAAAAAAAAGGAGCAGAAATAAAAATCACAAGAAAGATTCCTGGCAATGAAAGAGTTGGTCAAGGAGATAACTAAAGTTAGAACAACAGGATTACCATTCTAACTCACTGGCAGAGGGTTATGGAACAAAATTTATTTTCGACTAATGACTATTTCTGCTCCAACTGTTTTTGAAAATAACAATTCTAGGGAATTATGGGGACTTACAACTGTTTCTCAAATGTTCCATAATACAGGATTTTAAAGCCATGCAATATCAATTTGTAAATAAACCTAACTTTTCATTAGCTGGATAATTGCACAGTCACAAATTTAAAATGCACTGAGAGCTATGTGTATCTATTGAATCAATGGTGGTGTATGGTGTTTAGTGTTTCACTAAACCAGCTCCAATGAGAATTACAGAGCCACTTTAAAGGAGTCCTTTCATATCGGAATTATTCAACAGTACAAATTAACAATGAAATTTTAGAACAAAATTGGCCTCAGCTAATGGCAACTGACCCAAAATCCCAGTGCTGAACACACTCGAGTCATTCAGAAGAAATGGAGAGCCTCATTTCAGTATTCAACTTGATATTTTCTGTATGGTGCACTGAACACAGTAAAACGCATCAAAAAAAAACACTAGCTCACTTCACTATTAGTTGACAGTAGTTCCTTCCAAGAATCTCAATTTCTAGTCACTGCATTTTTTTTTAAACACAGTAACTTGACTGATAGTTGTAATGCTCATGATCAGATATTAGGTAACCTTGGTAACCATTCAACATCACAAAAATATCATTGAAAATGAGATTTCTTTACACTGTGTAGATGAAATGATTTAGAAGATTGTAAAAAATATACATTTACAAAGGTCACACAGGGAGCAATGGTGTTTGCTACAATCTGAGGTCTGAAATATCAGGGAAATAAGGATGGAAGTTTCACTGAGACTTTGAAGAAAACAGATAAACTGAATGCAGTAATTTTATACTCCTCTCCTTACAACGTGATGCACCTTGAACCAGAAACAGAATTGTCTTGCCTCTCAGTAAAATGAAATACTTTAGACAGGGAATAGGAAGCAAATTAATTTCTTTAGTAGAACAGAGAAAGGGGTGGTCCCAATAATGGCAAACGGTTCTGGGGACATGGGTTTGAATCCTACCTTAACAGATGGTGAGATTTAAAGTGGGGGAAAAAAAAAGTGCAAATAAAAGCATGCCAAATGGCCACCATGTGGTTGAATCTTAACAGACTTCCAAAATGACGTAGCAAGCCATTCACTTCCACAATTAGGGATGGGAAATAAATATTGGCCTAGCCAATATTGTCCACAGTAATGAGTAAAACTATCGCACTGCTGTAAACCATGCACATATGGATGAAGAATCTAGATAAGAGAAATAAAATTAATGGGCCAAATTTTGCTGTAGAAATAATGGTAAAGCTGTTGTTGTCACCAACTTTAAATTGTAAGAAATCACTGGCAACCCTACACACACGGTTAAAAGTGTAAATCAGAAAGCTATGTTTTGATTTGCTCAGGCTGTCTAGAAGCTTTTGTTGTTGCCTTGACCTTGCCCAGAGGCCAGACATGGAAAATTTGCTGGATGTACCCCAGTACGAACCTGTTAGAAATGTTTTGGGTTGGTCCATTCCAGCATATGTAAATTTATAGTGCTGTAGGAAGGGCACAGACAAGGCAAATAGCCAAGGTTTTTTTCCCCAGGGTGGGGGAATCCAAAACTAGAGTGCAAAGGTTTAAGGTGAGAGGGGACAGATTTAAAAGGGACTCAAGGGGCAATTTTTTCACACAGATGGTGGTGCATACAAGAAATGAGCTGCCAGAGGAAGTGGTAGAGGGAAGTACAATTCCGACATTTAGGAGACATTTGGAGGGGTACATGGATAGGAAGGGTTTAGAGGGACACAGGCAAAAGGGACTCATTCAGCTTAGGAAACCTGGTTGGCATGGACAAGTTAGACTGAAAGATTTATTTCCGTCCTGTATGATGCTATGATTCTATAAGTCTTATTTACAGCATAACAAGATTGAATTCCTTCAGCATTGGTAACAGCTTTATTTTTGAGGATATATTAGCTTTATGAAATAAAAGAACAAGGAACAACACAGCACAGGAACAGGCCCTTCAGCCCTCCAAGCCTACACCGACACATTTTACCCTTCCATACCAAAACTTACTTCACTTACAGGATCCATATCCCTCTATTCCCTTCCTATTCATGTATTCATCTAGGTACTTATTGAGTGATGCTATTGTGTCTACTTCCACTACCACCTCTGGCAATGCATTCCAGGCACTCACCACCCTTTGCATGAAAAACCTGCCTGGCACATCTCTTAAATTTCCCCTCTCGCACCTTGAACATGTGGTCCCTAATAATTGACCCCCTCCATCCTGGGAAAAAGCCTCCGGCTTTCCGCTCTATCCATGTCATTCACAATCTTATAAAACTTCTATCAGGTCACCCCTCAACCTCCTACATTCCAGTGAAAACAAACCCAGTCTGGCCAACCTTTCTTCATAGCTAAAATCCCCCATTCCAAACAACATCCTGATAAACCTTTTCTGTATCCTCTCCAAAGCATCCACATCCTTCTGGTAGTGTGGTGACCAGAACTGTAGTTAGGCCACATTTGGAATATTACGTACAGTTCTATAAAGCTGCAGCATTAGTTGTCTATCCTCATACTCAATGGCCCTTCCAATGAAGGCAAGCATGCTGTAAGCCTTTTTTGCTACTTTATCTACCTGCGCTGTCACCTTCAGTGATCTGTGGACCTGCACACCCAGATCCCTCTGCATATCAATACTCCCAAGGGTTCTGCCATTCACTGTATAATTTCAACCTGTACCTCACCTTCCAAAATGCATTACTGCACATTTGTCCAGATCAAATTACATCTGGTAGTTTTCTGCCCATGCATGCAACTGATCTATATCCTGCTGTATCCACTGACAAGCCTCCTCACTATCTGCAACTCCACCAATCTTTGTATCGTCCACAAACTTACTAATTAGACGAGCTACGTGTTTCTCCAAATCATTTATATAGATCACGAACAGCAGAGGTCCCAGCTCTGATCCCTGTTGAACACCATTAGTCACAACCCTTCATTCCAAAAAGCATCCTTCCACCGTTACCCTGTCTTCTATGACTAAGCTAGTTCTGTGTCCAACTTGCCAGATCACACCTGATGCCATGTGACTTCACCTTTTGTAACAGCCTGCCATGAGGGACCTTGTCAAAGACTTTACTAAAGTCCACGTAGACAACATCAACCGCTTCTTCCCTCAATCATCTTCGTCACCTCCTCAAAAAACCTGATCAAGTTAGTGGAGCAGGTCCTCCCCTGCACAAAACCATGCTGTCTATCACTATTCAGTCCATTTGCTACTAAATGTGCATAGATCTTTTCTCTGGAATCTTTTCCAATAATTTCCCTACCACCAATGTGAGACTCACAAACCGGTAATTTCCAAGATTATCCCTGTTACCCTCCTTAAACAATGGGACCACATTGGTTATTCTCCAGTCCTCTGGGACCCTACCCGTGGCCAAAGAGGATACAAAGATGTTTGTCAATGCTCCAGCAATTTGTTCTCTTGCCTCCCTCAATATTCTGGGATAGATCCCATCAGGACATGGGGACTTATCAACCTTAATACTTTTTAAGCCACACAACACCTCTTTCTTTTTAAAAGCAACTTGGTTTAGAAACTTGACGTTCCCTTCCCTCAG